ATGTTTACCTGTGTTTTATTGACCATGCAAAGGCATTCGACTGTGTGGATCATAACAAATTATGGATAACATTGTGAAGAATGGGAATTTCAGAACACTTCACTGTGCTCATGAGGAACCTGTACATAGATCAAGGGGCAGTTTTTTGAACACAACAAGGGGATACTGCGTGGTTTAAAGTCAGAAAAGGTGTGCATCAGAATTGTATCCTTTCACCATACTTACTCAATCTGTATGCCGAGCAAATAATCCGAGAATCTGGACTATATGAAGAACACAGTGGCAGGATTGGAGGAGGACTTATAAACAACCTGCATTATGCAGATGATACAACCTTGCTTGCTGAACGTGAAAAGAATTTGAAGCACTTACTGATGAAGATCAAAGACTACGGCCTTCAGTATGGATGACACCTCAACATAAAGAAAGAAAAACTCCTCACAACTGGAACAATGAGCAACATCATGATAAATGGAGAAAATACTGAAGTTTGCAGGATTTCATTTTACTTGGATCCACAATCAACACCCGTGGAAGCAGCAGTCAAGAAATCAAAAGACACACCACATTGGGCAAAGCTGCTGCAAAAGACCTCTTTAAAGTATTAAAAAGCAAAGATGTCAGCTTGAAGGCCAAGAAGCGCCTGACCCAAGCCATGGTATTTTCAATCACCTTATATGCATGTGAAAGCTAGGCAGTGAATAAGGAAGATGAGTAAGAATTGAAGCCTTTGAATTATGGTATTGACAAGGAATATTGAATATACCGTGGTCTGCCAAAAGAACAAACAAATCTGTCTTGGAAGAAGTACAACCAGAATGCTCCTTAGAAGCAAGGATGGCAAGACTTTGTCTCATACAATTTATCAGGAAGGACCAATCCCCGGAGAAGGACGTCATGCTTGGTAAAATAGAGGGTCAGCAAAAAAAAGGAAGACTCTCAACGAGGTGGATTGGCACAGTGGCTGCAACAATGGGCTCAAGCATAACAAGGATCTTGAGTATGGCACAGGACCAGGCAGTGTTTCATTCTGTTGTACATAAGGTTGCTATGAGTTGAAACCTACTCGATGGCACCTAACAACAACGATAACAATGTTGAGTGAAATAAGTCAATCACAAAAGGACAAATACTGTGTGAGACCACTATTATAAAGTAACAACAAAAGGTTTACATACAGAGAGAAATGCATTCTTTGATGGTTACCATGAATGGGAGGGGGAGGAAGGGAAAATTACCAAATAGATAGAAGACACATGTTAATATCAGTGAAGGGAAAGGCAATACGTAATATGGGAGAAGTCAGCACAACATGACCAAGGCCAGAGAAGACACTGAGAGGAATGCAAGAATAAAGGGCAATTACGGTAACTACTATAGCATAGACAATTCTGCAACAATGATATTAACAAACAATAATTTACAAATGGATACATAGGTAGATAGATACGCCAAGAGGTGTGGGAAGGTGTAAAGGAGCATACCCTCTGTTAGATATAGGTTTGGGGTGGATATTTCTATATACATGAATGTAGGTCCTCCTCATATATTAATATAGACAATACAGCACATAAGGGGCTCAGTCAGGGAAACCTCTTAGATATAACCAAACACTTGGTGGGATGAAGTTCCTAGGCTCAAAGGCAAAGGACCACAGATTCAGGGGACATCTGTGTTCATAAAGACAGTGTTATGCAGCCTACTTTGGTGAGTAGCATCTGGGGTCTTAAAAGTTTACAAGCAGCCATCTGAGATACAACTATTGGTCTCTTCACATCCTGAGCAAATGTGAGTGGAGAAAACCAAAGACTCAAGGGAGTAGTTAGTTCAAAGGACTAATGGCCCACGTGAACCATAGCCTACGTGACCCTGAGACCAGAAGAACTAGGTGGTGTCCAGTTACTACTACCAACCATTCTGACTGGGATCACAACAGAGGGCTCCGAACAGAGCAGGAGAAAAATGTAGAACAAAAAATCAAATTCACAAAAAAGACCAAACTAACTGGTCTGACAGAGACTGGAGGAACCCGCATGACTATGGCCCCAAGACACTGTTCTGACATGGAACTGAAGCCATTCCCGGAGACCACCTTCCAGCCAAACAATAGACAAAACCAAACTTGTTGCTGTCGAGTCGATTCCGACTCATAGCAACCCTAGTAGGACAGAGTAGAACTGCCCCATAGGGTTTCCAAGGACTGGCTGGTGGATTCAAACTGCCAACCTTTTGGTCAGCAGCCAAAGGCTTAACCACTGCGCCACTAGACAAGCCCATAAAATAATCAGTAACACCAGAGAGAAATGTGCTCCCCACAACAATCAATTATACAAGATCAAAAGGGCAGTATTTGCACAAAGCAAAGATGAGATGGCAGGAAGGGGTAGAAATTCAGGAACAAAGGAAATGGGGAACCCAGGGTGGAAATGGGGAGAGTGCTGACACATCGGGGGGAATGAAGCCAAGGCCATGAAACACTTTCTGTACAAACTATCAAATGAGAATCTAATTTGCTCAGTAAACTTTCACCTAATGCACAATTAAAAAAAAAAAATCTGACTCCCTTTGTCGTGGAACTTACATGAATAATATCAATAGCTAACATTTATTAAGCACTAACGATGTGTTAGGAACTGTTCTTATATTTATTAACTCTAAAAATAATTCAGAAAAACCCCATGAGGTAAGTACTATTATGATTCCCATTAACAATAAGGAAACCGGAAGTCAGCGACGTCAAGCCAACTGAAACTAATTTTTATAGAGCTATGAGTCTGCACAGAGCTTTTGTATATGTTACCTTCTTTAATTTTTCTTAATTAATACCTTCAATAGCTTTGACCTCATTGTTACAGGTGAAGAAACAAAGCTCCAAAGATTACTTCATAAGCCAGTGACAGGAGGAGAGGATCAGATCCCCGGCCTGCCTGCTCCAAAGCCCGTTCTTCTACACACCAGGCTGAAACCTGAGGGTTTGCAACAAGTTCTGTGAGTGATCTAATTAGTACAAAGATGACGATGATGAGGACAACGACTTGCAGGGTTGAGAACAATGTCTTTACTTTTATGTGTTGAGGGCTGCGTGAGAATTTGGTTCCTTTTCCAACGCTCTCACACAAAACTAAGAGACTACAGAACTGCTAACTGATAGGAATATGACTCTCCAAATTTCACCTGTTGGTGATGGTGATGGGGCGGGGAGAGATCATCATATCTATCTTTTATATCTAAAGGGTGATACAATTCTTTCTTTACTCCCAGTCTCCTAGGTAGAAGTGAACATTGAAAGCATTGTTCAGCTTTACTCTCTGTGTCTGGCTTGTCCCTTTTATCTGACTGAAATGGTTTGTTGCTTCTGCTGGAGCACAGAACAGATCCTTGCACTTGCTAGGATGGTCTTAAAGCAGTATTTGCAGAGAGAGTACAATTTTTACTTAGGCTATAAATTACAGATCAGCAAAAGTAGCATCATTTTCTGAAAATGCTTTTATTCATACATTACTGATAAAATGTCCGTTATTAAAGAATAATTTTCAGAAAAGGTAAAACTATGATTCTGATATAGATATATAATTAATACATGTCAAAGGTTGTATTGAACTCATTTATGGAAGGACTTGATAAGATTACAGTAAAAATCAGTTATGACTGGTTTAAAGCATAGTTCTGAGAACCACACGTGTAGGGAATAAAGAATACTGAAATGAATTTCAAATAGAAACAAAATATGTCCATCCACAGGGCAATAATCAATTGCATTCCATCAGAACGATTTAATTTGGATTTCTCTGAACAAGAATAGTTTGTATATTATTGGCTTTCTACAGTTCACAGAGTTGTAAAATAGCTCAAACTCAAAGACAATGAAACCTAGAAGTAAACCAGATGAATAAGCTAGACAGGACACTTGTGTGGTAAGCAGAATAATGGCCCTCCAAAGATGCCCACATCCTAATCGCTAAAACCTATAAATCTGTTATTTTACATGGCAAAAAGGACTTGGTAGATGTGATTAAGTCAAGGATTTTGAGAAGAGGAGATTAGTCTGGATTATCCAGGTGGGTCCAATATAATCACAAGGGTCCTTATAAGAGAGAGGCAAGAGGGTCCAAGTCAGAGAAGGAGATATGACCACAAAAGCAGAGGCCAGAGTGATGGATCCATGAGCCCAGGAATACAAGCAGCTTCTAGAAGCTGGAAAAGACAAGGAATGGATTTTCCCCTAGAGCCTCCAGGAGAAATACAACCCACTACACCATGAGTTTCGTGCCCTAAGTCCCATTTTGTACTTCTAACCTCCAGAGCTATAAAATAATGAGTATGTGTTATTTTAAGCTACTAAATTTGTGGTAATTTGTTGCAACATCAGTAGGAAACAAATACACCCATTAGCCTTTTTTTTTTTCTGTCCATTTTAAAGTATTTTACAATTTTTCCTGATAGGGTGAAAGGCCAACTGATAGAGATGGGGGGGAACTTAAGCCTCCTCCCCAAAAGTTGGACCTTGGCCCTGCCACTAAAGCAGTAATGTATACTATCCCAACTACTACTGTATTTGTTCTGAGTGCAGATTTACTGTTTTAATTACGGATTATGCCAATATTAAATAGCCTTTCTTCCCTGAGATCTCAAGAACTAAAGTGGGAAGAGGGAAGGTGAAGGTGGGATTAGAGACCAACAGAATGATCTGGCCAGAGAGGATGACCAAGAAGCCAAGTTACAGCCAGGGGAAACCAGCCTGGGAGTTACAACTCCCCAGGATAATTTACAGAGGAGCTTCCCTCTTACCAAAGATCATGCAGTTGTTTAGGGGCAACTACGTGAGTGAAAAATCCAACGTCCAGATTCCAGACCTGGCCCTGACGCTTACTACTTGTACGACCTCCATTCCAACAAGTTGTGTTTATGTGTAACGGGTTTGTAAGATGGTCTGTAAGATGAGTGTCATAGTGATGACCACCCTTCTGTGCCTTGCAGGGCTGTCGAGATGCTCAGATGAACTCGTTCACATTAGAAGGATTTGTAAGCTGAAGCATTTAGAATGTATAGGTGTATAGCATATTGGGCACAAATAGTTGGCAATTCAGTGTGTGTGATTATCCTAAAATACATTCATTTACTTCAACAAATGCTTATTGAGCAATTAGTTGAAGGTTTAAGCATATGCTAGGCCCTGGCAATTTGAAAATGAACAAAACAAAGCCTTTGCTCTGTAGGAGATCACAATAAAGTGAGGGAGACAGACGATCAAGTCATTTCAATACGGTGTGTGGAGTGGTAATAAAACTTAAGAAATGAACAAAATTACTGGGAGGTGCAGAGAAGGTAGCAATGAACTCTGATTCCAATATAATCCAGGCTCGGAGTAAATATCCTAGGGTACCCTATGCATGCTAACAATAATGCTTTCCAATTGTATAACATTGTAAGTATATAAGTCTTACTGTGACTTCATGCTATCTTACTTTCTGGGTTAAAATGAAGAAAGAATTAATATTCAGAAGAAACAGCGTTTGTTCCAGTTGATTCTGGCAAGGACTGAGGCTTCAAATCAGTCATCACCTTGAACTCTCTCCTCATCTTTCCATCCCTCCGCCTCATCCACCTTTCCTTTTCCTCATATTTTCCAGATGCCTTTCTCCTTATTAGGCTTTCCAGCTCCAAAATGTTTGTACAAGGCATTTCCTTGTCTGTGTTTCAACGATACATAAACTATCAATACCCCCTGCAAGGTATTACAGGCTAGCACCCTGTCAAGGGGATAATAGCATAGTGACACCTATCACATGAGCCGCCCTCTCCTGAAAGAGTCTGAGGCTGGCACCAAAGCAAGAATGAGCTCCCAAGAATTTTTTTTTCATTCTTTTAGTTCACTTTTTTATTGGATTATAAAATGCATACAGAAAAGGGTACAGATAAAAAAGACAATCTTTGTTGCATTTTAGCAATTTGAACATACCTATGTAGCCATCACCCAGAATATTTGTTGTTAGGTGTCAAGTCGGCTCAGACTCTTAGCAATCCTATGTACAACAGAACAAAACACTGCCGGGTCCTGTGCCATCCTCACAATCGTTGCTATGTTTGAGCCCATTGTTGCAGCCACCGTGTCAATCCATCTCGTCGAGGGTCTTCCTCTTTTTCACTGACCCCCTACTTTACCAAGCATGATGTCCTTCTCCAGGGACTGGTCCCCCCTGCCAGGCAGTTTCTTGTAATGTAAATGTGTATTTACCTTTTAATCCAGCAGATCTGCTCCTGGGTGTTTACCCAAAAGAAATGAAAACATATGTCCATAAAAAGACTCTTACAGTAGTGTTCATAGCAGCTTTTTCATAGTACCCTAAAACCCAAATGTCCATACGGTTGAAATAGATAAGCACATTGTAGTGCATCCATTCAATGAAATACTACTCAGCAATAAAGAAGAATGAACTAGTGATACATTCAGCAATGTGACTGAATCTCAAAACGTTAGGTTGAGCAAAAGATTCCAGAAGCAAAAGTAAACAACTGTATGATTCCATCGATTTGGAGTTCCAGGACGGAAAATTTGTCTATGGTGGTAGAAGTCAGAAGAGTGGTTATCAATAGGGAGATGGGATTGACTAGGAGGGAACTTGAAGGAACTTTTTGGGATAATGGAAGTGCTCTACATCTTGATTGGTTACACAGATGTATATATTTGTTAAACCCATTGAATTTAACACTTAAGGTCAGTATAAATCACTGTATGTAAAATTTACCTCAATTACAAACAATTAATGGAAAGCAATGTTTTAGCAGAAGTTTGGACAGATATCTGACCAGTACTAGACCTGGATGGTATTTAAACTCTCTTAAGGACTTTCCCTACATAGATTTTTTTTAAATTTACTTCTCATTAGGTACTACATTTATAAGTTTTAAAAACAAAATGCATTAAAACAAACTCAGGGGAAAAAAAGAAAAGAAAGGAAACCGTAAAAATTCGTACTCCATCCTCGTTCCTCATCTGCTGAGTTCCCCCACCCCATAGGCAACTACTACTCTCAATTTCTTATGTATTCTTCCTCAAACTTTTTAAGCAAAAACAAACACCCTGCATTTTTCACTTAGAGTAATGGAATCCAAGAAAACATGGTGTTAGACACCAAACAACCTGTCGATGGTCGTAAAGCCTTAGAATTGTTGGTATGAGAACTCGTGGTTTGCCGTCATATTTGACCAGATCTTTGCCCAAAGTCTTTGTCGTGACTTTTCAAAGCACAGTTTTCAGAGAATTTTCACGTGCTGTCAGATCGTCCTGGGTTAGTCAGGTTAGAAATGCTCTTTTTGGCCAGGACTCTTGCTATTCCTAACTGCTGAAGCCAGGGTTTTTCTTTAAAGGCACTGCAAGAAAACAGGACAGAATTAATAAGGAGATCCAATCTTTTCCCATTGTATAGCTGAAAAGATGGAAATTTTCAGTTGATTGTGCAACTGTGGCTGGATTATTTTGTCACATGAGGTAGGATGTAACATAGGAAACAGCCATCTTTCTAAAACCAGTTCCTTGTGAAGCAGTGGGACTGATCTTCTCCCAAGCCAAGACTAGCAGTTTAGAACCCACAACTAGAAACAGAAAACCACAAACGCCATGTTGATTTCTTGAGGTTGGAAGCTTTTCTATCCGTTCTCTTCCAGGCGTCTGCATGATCACATGCTCCCTGACCTCTTCTCCCTTCTACCCCACCCAACACCACAAACACAATTAGTCTTTTGTCATTGAGAAGCATTAGATATTTTGACAGCCTTTAACTGAAATGTGGAGCCCTGGTGGCACAGTGGTTAAGCCACAGCTGCTAACCAAAAGGTCAGCAGTTCGAATCTACCTGCTGCTCCCTGGAAACCTTATGGAGCAGTTCTACTCTGTCCTATAGGGTCACTACGAGTTGGACTTGACGGCAATGGGTTTGGTTTGGGTTTTCGTTGGTGGTGCAGTGGTTAAGAGCTTGGCTGCTAACCAGTAGTCGGCAGTTTGAATCTATCAGCTGCTCTTTGGAAACTGTATGGGGCAGTTCTACTCTGTCCTATAGGGTCACTATGAGTCAGAAGTGACTTGATGGCAGCATGTTTGGTTTTTAACTGAAATGCAATGAAACTTAATGTTTGATAGTTATCTGGCTACATACTAATAAAGACTTGTAAATTTGAATTATATGACTAATATATGACAAATTAATTTTCATATATTAAATTAATATCTCTCCGCTTTCTTCAGCTGGTTGACCCCTAGTCAGCCTGCGGATCTTAGCTCAAAGGTTTTCCGAGGGAGGACAAGGTCCATGTTGTAGACTTCCACAGAATCAAGTTTCTCTTCTTCACAGCACTTTCCTCAGTTTGCCTGTGAGATAATCTCTATCACACTCAGCTGAACAGTTTGCTTCACAAGGGCAAGACTGCGTCTGTACTTGCTCTCCGCTACACGGAGTGACCAACTGTCCAGTTTGCCCCAGAGTGAGGGATTTCCTGGGAAATGGGACTTTTAGTGCTAAACTGAGAAAGTCCTAGGCAAACCAGAATGGTTGGTCATCCTTTTACTACGTCTTCAGCTTAATGTCTATTGAATAAATAGCCATTACTTGGGCCATCAGCTCGGCCACCTAACTGAACCTGAGTGTTCCCTTTAAGCATAGACGTTCCCAGCCCAAGGAGAAAAGGATGGTATAACCACGTACAACTTTCCCAGGCTTTTACGCATTCATTCGACAGCTATTTATTGAGCACTCACTGTATGCCAGGCACTATTATATGTGCTGGAGATACAAAAAGTGAAGAAAGGAAGGAGTCACGGAATTCAGGGTGCTAGTCCGGCAGCTAGAGGGTAAGGGTTTAGCAACGAGGTGTGTACTGTCTGACAAGCTAGACTGGGAGGCTGAGCCCACAGGATTTGGTCAATTCTCTGACCTGTGTTTGGGGCCCCACCTGCCCCATTAGACTTTCTCCCTGCTCAAGCTTCCCCCTATTCCTAGAATCTCCAACAATTAGGCCACTTATCCAGAGGTGTTCAGGAGGAGTTACTACCATATTGAGAGCAGGGCTTAGTGGCCATGAGCAGGCCAAGCAGGTTTATTCTCTGAATTCACTTTCTCAGCTCATGCTTCCGCTTGCTGCTCCAGTGGGGCCTCTCTCACCCAAAGCAGGACTGAGGAGGGGAGGCGATGCAACCAGCCACTCAAACCCAGTGCTCAGGAATGCACAAGAACAGCTGTCCCACTCTAGTGTCCATACTTTTCTAGGACCCACATGCCCACCTATGCAAAACAGCCAGGCCCGCGAGTCTGGAGGGATCAGGAGAGCCTCCACACCTGCTCCTCCTGTATCCCCAGCACCTGATGAAGGGGGCTGAGCAGGCAGGCAGAGGGCAGGTCATATCCCTGAGGGACCAAAGAGAAGAAACACCTACTCCAAACCCATTACATGGTGTACTCGGGAAGTGTTCTACAAGGGCGCACCTGAATTGCACATAGTTGAGGGGGTACCGCTGACAGTCTCTTGCTGGGGAATGGTGGCTCATAACAGGGCACCACACAATGACCCTGAGAGATTTTGTCAGGGGGCTGGTCCTCTCCCTCACTCCCTCCCTCCTTGTAATTTCCCCTGGGCCTTGGCCCCTCCTACCTGTAGCTTCGTCATTAACTCAAAACAGCCTTTCATACTCTATCAATGGGTGCTATGGATTGAATTATTTCTCCTTAAAGGATGTTGAAGTCCTAATCCCTGTATCTGTGACCATGACCCTATTTGGGAATAGGGTTTTCTTTTGTTATGTTGATTAGGTCATACAGAGTACCGTGAATCCTCAACCTGATCCCTTCCGAGTTGTATCATATAAAAGGGAAAACAGAGAGACACACAGATGGGGGAAGACAGACACCAGGTGAAGGTACATCTACAAGCAGCCAAGGAACACCGAAAAATGGCCAGAGCTACAGAACTGGAAAGAGATAGGGATCTTCCCCTAGAACCCACAGAGGGAAAGAGAGAGCCTAGCCTGCCAACACCCTCATTTCAGAACTATGAGACAGTAAGTTCCGGTTCTTTAAAGCCACCCACTTGTGGTATTTGTGGTGGTGTTGTTGTTGTTGTTATGGTAGCACTAGGTAACTAAGACAATGGGTATCATTTGGTACAGACTTTTGGAAAGGTAACTTGGCAATATTTATTAAAATTTTTAATATGCATGTCCTTTCAACAAGCAATTTCATATCAATGAAAATACCCTGTAGAAATATTTCCACAAATGAACAAGTATGTGTATATAAGAATTTATTGCACCACTGTTGTCACGGTGAAAAATTGGAAACAACTCAAATTTAATCAAGAGGGTGCTGGTTAAACAAGTTATTATACATAAACACAGTGGAATACTAGGCAGCCATTTTTTTTTAGATGAGGTAGCTCATTTCCTACAATGTGGAAAAATTTTAAAGATACATTTGAGATCTCTATGTTTATGGGAGCCCTAGTGGCACAGTAGTTAACAGCTACAGCTGCTAACCAAAAGGTTGCAGTTCGAATTCACCACCTGCTCCTTGGAAACCCTATGGGGCAGTTCTATTCTGTCCTATAGGATTGTTATGAATCGGAATCAACTAAACAACAACAATATTTATGAACAATAAACATAGTAAAAGACTTTTTATGAAAAAAACGACACACATACACATCTCACATACGCAAATTGAGATACATAGAAACTTCTAGCAATAATGATGGTACCTTCTGGGGAGGGGAACAGGTGGGTGAGACGGAGAGGAATAGGGTTGAAGGCTGAAGGGACACTTTCATGTTTTACCTTAAATATTTCCACGTTGTTTGTGTGTTTCACAGAGAACATGTATTACTGTACGTTGTAATTAGAATTCTTTTTTTTTAAGAGACAATATTCCATTGTCCAGTTTTCCTCTCTGCACCAACACTGCCTGTTGACTGCAAAGACTTCTGCTCCACCTCTCCCAGTAGATTTCCTCCCCGCCCAAGCTTTCCTCTACTCCTAGAATCCCCAGGAAATAGGTCACTTATCCAGAGGCATTCAGGAGGAGTTCTCTCACACTGAGCGAAGGGCTTAGCGGTCATGAGCAGGCCACAGATTTCTTCCTGAATTCACTTTCCAAGCCTGAGGCAAACACCTCCAGCAATCACAGTGGCTTGAACTCGTGGCAACAGTCCCCCACCCAACCCCCGGTACTTTTTATAAAGTTGGAAGAACAGAGAGCTCTACTTTTATCAAAGCATGAAGGCCCATCAGAGTCGCTATCTGGGATTGCCACCTATTTCCCACCCTCTCAGGACCCTCAGTTGTCAGGATCAAACCCCACTCTGGAATCTTCACTGAATTCAACTTCCTGGGAATCCTGTAAGAACTGGTAAGGAAGACAGTTTTCTGATCACACCTTGGAAATATTTTTTGATCTGTACAAAGCCCACACTATCTTCCAGAGGCTGAGGAGTGAGATGCTGCGTGACCTCTGGCCCCAGTCATTGTCTTCTGCACACCAGCCATGTGTACCCACTAACCCTGACTCACACTAGCACCTTGGTCTGAGTTAACTGCAGCAATATCATCTCTGAATTAACCCTAAGAGGTATATTTTTATGAATCTAAAGGGGGAGTACCTGAATGAAATGTGGTCCAGCCAGCACCTTCATAGGATGCAAGGTAAGTTGTCTGGGGTCCTAGATTGGGAGACAATCCGTTCCTCATACAATAAGGAACATCTGACGGCTACTTTGCTCACCTTGACCTAATCTCCCTGAGTCGCCATCGTGAAGGATGGCATTGTGGCTCCTCCCTGTCTCATGGCTATGATACTCGCTTGGTGATGGTGGGCACAGACATCAAGATGGCCAAGTCCACTCCTCACGTTTGTATTGTTTTGGCACAAAGGCTGGACTGGCTTTTTAGTGGAGAGTGATCAGACCATCTTATTGCCTAGATTGACTGACTATTTCAGGTAGACATAGGTGCTTTCATTACTTTGGTGAGGGGCGTGCACCAGACCAAGAAGAGCCGTAGTAGGGCCTGAGGACCGTGGGCCTCAACTTCCTTTCCACAGCCCACCACAAAAGAAGGTGGGAAGGGTCAGGGGAGAGATGCAGTGGAAAGGGGTGAAATGAGATGGAGAGAAAGTGGCAGGTGTGAATAGAGGCAAGAGAAAAAATATATTGTAAAGAGAGAAGTTAGGGTTGGAAAGAGAATTTTCTAGGAGAAACTCTGCCAGAAGAAGTGCAGAGCCAGGTTACCACCACTCCTTCCATACATCTACCTTCCACAGTAGCCTCTTTCTTTGGCAGAACAGTTTCCCCAGCAATTCCCTTCTCAACCTTGAATCTGCCTCCCTTTGATGACTCCAATCCTTATTAAATGTACCTACAAATATAGCACACTAGTACAGTCTCTCCAGAAAAGTGTTTGGAAGTATTCACTACAGCTAAACATAAACTTAACCTATGACCCAGCAATCCCATTCCTAGGCAAAGAGTAGAGAAATGACTGGAAATGTCCTCCACATCTCAAACACGAGAATAATCACAGCAGCTTTATTCAAAAAGCTCCAAATTAGACACATCTGAAATATCCATCATAATCAAACCCGTTTCCCTCAATTCTGACTCACAGTGATCCTAAATGACAGAGTAGCGCTGCCCCAAGGGTTTCCAAGGCTGTAATCTTTACAGAAGCAGACTACCACAACTTTCTGCCAGGGAGCACCTGGTGGGTTTGAACCACCGACCTTTCGGTTAGCAGCCAAGCACTTAACCACTGAGCCACCCGGGAGGAGAATGAATAAATGATGATATATTCATGCAATGGAATACCACATAGAAATAAGAACAACTGATACACACTGAAACAGGGATGAATCTCACAGACAACACGTTGAACAAAAAGGCCAGATGTGAAAGGTACATACCATATGATACTCTTTATATAAAGTTCAAGAATGGGCAAAACTAGTCCATGGCGACAGAGGTCAGCATACTAGTTGTATCTCTGGGAGGATTTATTGACTCGAAAGGGGCACAAGAAAAATTATCTGGGTGCTGGAAATATTTTGTATATGATCTGGGTGGTGGCTGCATGGATATATGCAAATGTAAAAATTCACCAAGCCATACATGTGATACTAGTGCTCTTTATGCATTTTGTTCTATATTTCACAACTCTGTTTCCCCCCAAAAAAGCACTTCACATAATAGACAATGGCTACCTTTCTCACCTGAAACCATACACGCACACCTGCCAACACAGATACTTTTGCACATTTGCATCCTGCCTAGCACTGCACCTGGGCCATAATAGGCACTTATTAGATGTTTGAAAAATAAATGCATTTTTAACACACATCTGTTGATAAAACAAATCAGCATTTCCTATCTTGTGTTTACAGCCTGATTTTTAAATCAGCTATGTAACTTCTTTCAATTAATCCTTTTTCTAGTATTTTTAGATAATCTCTTTTTAAAATAATTTTTATTGTGGTAAAATGTACATAACAGAATTTACCATTTTAACTTCTTATGCGTGTACAATTCAGTGGTTTTAAGTACCTTCATAATCTTGCATAACTATCACTACTATATGTTTCCAGATCTTTTTTTATGATTCCAAACAGAAGATGATCTATTTTTATACTCAGAGATACCTCCCAAATTGTAAAGACTGAAGCCGTTAAGCAGCTTATCTACTGTCAACTTCTGGGTTGGATCCTGATTTTTGCTAGTTTTACGACCCGAATTACTCTCACCACTAGGTGGCAACAGCTAGCCAAGTACTAGAGCCGAAATCAAGACCAGCACAGACAGTCAGGAGCTCTGGTGGTGTGGTGGTTAAGAGCTCTGCGGCTAACTAAAAGTTTCGTGGTTTGAATCCACCAGCTGCTTCCTAGAAACCCATGGGGAAGTTCTACTCTGTTTTTTAGGGTCGCTATTGAGTTGGAATCGACTTCATTGCAATGAGTTGGCTTGGTGTTGTTTGTTTTTAATAGAAAGTCAACACAATTTAGACTTCTTCTTTCCTTCTCATTATGTCAAGGGGAAAAACCACCCATAAATCTATACATCTACTGTTCTATTGGCATCCAAAAAATACCTCATAAGTAAGGGATGGGATCTGAGATCTAATCAGAGTTGTCCTTTCAGTGTGAGCTGATGACCAATATATAAAATTTTACCTTATGAAATACATGTGCCTGAAAATCCACTTCTGATACATTTGCTTATCTCTTTAATTGTGATAACAGATTACCTTTTTAACTGACCGTACATATTAATATCAAATCTATCACCCTATACATCATAGATTTCCCTCCACCTGTATCCCTTGCCCAGTAAGTCAACTTAGTCTTTGTGGTTCAGTTTGTCATTAAATTTTCCCCTTCTTTCCTTCCATTTTCATTGCCATTCAGTTTTCCATGTGCTTTTCATGTCCCCCTCCTGAATTTTAAGTTTCTCTCTTCTCGTTTTAATTATAATTAACAATTTCTTATTAGCTTAAGAAAAAAAAAGCACGAGACCTAGCTAATTGAGACAACTCTTTTTACTGAAAAGAAATCTTGAGGAGTAAGTCACCGTACAGATAGGTTTGGCCAAAAAAAATATCTCCTTTTGTCCTAGACACAAAGCTAAGATGAGGTCCTTGAAGCTGGGAAGTGATGTTCTGGAACAACCTGTATTACACTCTATGACATAGGGGGCTTCACGGACCATTCCCTGCCCTATTGTTTAGTGTTAGCTGCCATCAAGTCGGCCTCAACTCATGGGGACCTCACGCACAGTGGGATCAGACCGTTGTGATCCATAGGACTGTTGTGATCCACAGGGTTTTCATTGGCTGATTTTTGGAAGTAGATCACCAGCCTTTTTTCCTACTCTGCGTTAATTAGCCTGGAAGCTGTGCTGAAAGCTGCTCAGCATCACAGCACCACACAAGACTCCAGTGACAGACAGGTGATGGCTGCACTTGACCGGGATTTGAACCTGGGTCTCCTGCATGGAAGGTGAGAATTCTACCACGGAACTACCACTGTCCCCATCCCCTGTGTTCAACCTGTCCTATGAAAGGTTCGCCCTGGCCGGTTTAAAGGGAAAGATTACCTTGCCATAGCTAAGCAGTGGATTGCATTCTCTCTTGGAGTCCTCTCACTGTGCTCCGACCAAGACCTGAAGGAGGACCTTCGGAGAAAGACCGCGCTGGGTGTTGCGCAGTAAAACGATGGGTGTGCATGGCGCTCTTTGGACAGTGGAGGGAGGGGAACTTGAGGGAGACATGCATTTCTGACGAACTTTTCTTTTTCCCTCGCTGTGTCAGTAATTGTTTTCTGATTTTTTTCTTGATGCCTTCGTAATTCCGAGAACTTATTTGCATCCACTAGTGGAGGAAACACAAGGGTTTCTTCCCTTGTGCTCTGCCGCGATGTTGTCAAAGGATTCACAGCCTTCCTGGTTGCCCTTTGCCCCCCAAGAGGCGCTAACTTGCCAGGGGTGTTTTGTGGGTCCTTGTCCCCGTACTTGTGCCAGCTCTGGGAGGTCATTTTTGGTTTGGTGAAACCATCCACCATTACAGCATCTCCAACTCTTGCTCTGGAGACCCCCGCTCGGTAAAGCTGGCTTTTATTAGGGCTGTGCCCGTGAGCTCTCAGGACCCACTGCTTTATTTTGATATAAATCCTCATGGGGACTGAAATTTTCGGAAAAGAGACTGTGGACCACGTTTTATTCAGCAGATATAATACGCAGTCCTTATGCTTGTGTTTGAGCGCGATGGTCAGGGGGGTTTGTCCTGCTGCATTTTTGCATTCCAGGCACAGCACGCTGTAGTTGACAAAGGCCTTCAGAATCAACAGCTGGCCCGATTCTGCAGCTGCATGAATGGGGCATTTAGAGACATCTGTATGAAGGGCTTCATGGCACCATGCTCGGCAGGGGTGAACGCCGACCGCCTCGTTGGGCCGCACACCCTGCTTCAGGGCCCATTCAGTGAGCTCGACGTACCCGTAAAAGGCTGCGATGTACAGGGCCACCCTTTTCTGATACCTGGGTGAGCGAAATAAGTGGGACAATAGTCGTTATGCTAAATACTCCTGAAACACTCTAGTTAAAATGTTGATTTCTCCCTAACTTTTCCCGACAATGTCTTCAGAAGAGGCCAACAGTAACGCGCTGGTTAAATGGCACGGACTCTGTTCTTCCACGTTACGGTACCATGCTCACGTAAATATGGTAATTCAACCTACCTTCTTTGGTGTGGTTGTCTTTCTTATGAAAATCAAATGCTCAGGGAAAATATCACACTTTGTATTACATGGGAACGTGTTGGAAAAATTCAGCACATTTTAGAAAGTTTTGTAAGTTTGTTTTGTCTTTTCTAATAATCCTTATTTTCTGGCTTTTCAATGTCTCTGCTGTTACCTGATGTAAGCCACTGTCATGCCCCTCCCTACCACCACCAGTACCGCCGGCCTCCTGACCTGTCTCCTACCCCCTCTTATCCTCCTGCAGGCCCTTCCTCACTCAGCACTCAAAAAACAAACAAACAAACCCAAAACCAAACCCGTTGCCTTGGAGTAGATTCCAACTCATAGGACAGAGTAGAACTGCCCCAGAGGGTTTCCAAGGAGCGGCTGGTGGATTGGAACTACTGACCTTTTGGTTAGCAGCCGAGCTCTTAACCACTCTGCCACCAGGGCTCCTTACCACTCAGCACTCAGAGTGATCTTTTTATTCCATAAATTAGAGGGAAATTATCCTCTGTTTCAAACCCTCCAGTAGCTTTCCATTTAATTTAAATTCTAACTGCTCACCTTGGCCCACAGAGCCTCTCATCATTGGCCTTGCTCCCCTCTCCAGCCCCACCTCCCATCACTCCTCTCCTCTTTCACTGCACTGGAGCCACTCTGTCCTGCCTGCTGTCCCTCCAACACCCGGATTCACCCTGGTCTCTGGGTCTTTGCACTCGCTTTTCCCTCCGCCTGTAATGCCCCTCCTCCGATCTCCATATTGGCTGCTTCTTCCGATCAGAGTTCAGCTGAACCATCATCTGCCCAGAGAGGCCTTCCCAACCACTGTAGCTGAAAGGCACACACACACTCCCACACAAAACCAGTCAGTAACTATCCCAAAACACTTTTCAGAGCACTTCTCACTATCAGAAATTATAATATTAGCTTGTTTATATGATTCTTATCTCTCTCCCGCCACTAGAATGTAACTCCTTGAAGGCAGGAACCCTATTTACAGAAGGGTCCTTACTGCTTAAACAGTTCTCAGCACATAGTAAACAAAACACCAGTTACATCGAGTCGATTCCAACTCCCGGTGACTGCGTGTGTGTCAGAGTAAACAATGCTGCTCTGCTGAGTGGGTTTTTAATGGCTAATTTTCAGAAATAGCTCTCCAGACCTTCCTTTCGAGGCTCCTCTGGATAGGCTCAAACCTTTCAGTTAGCAGACGAGAATGTTAACCATTTGCGCAACCCAAGGAATCCTAGTATATAGTAGGTGATCAACAAATATTTTTTGTTGGACTAACAGACTTTTTTAATAAAATGATAGGATCTCAGAGGCTCTAATTTTCCTGTCTGGGGAAGATACTCTGACCTGAATTATGTGGGTCTCGAGGACCCTCAGAGTTCCCAGGTGGCACAAACATTTAAGCACTCAGCTACTAACCAAAAGGTTGGCAGTTTGAACACACCCAGAGGCACCGCGGAAGACAGGCCTGTCAATCTGCTTCTGAAAGGTCACAGCCTTGAAAACTCTATACAGTAGTTCTACACTGCATGCATGTGGTTGCCATGAGTCAAAATCAACTGGATGGCACACAAGAGCGAAAACTGGGACTCTCTTGCAGTTAGATTGTAATTAATTAGAGTTATACATTAATACATTGGCATTTTGGTTCAGACATCAGTTTCTTTTGAAATTCACTAATGCAAGTCAGCATGTCTGAATTTGACCAGTATTGTTGGTTTGGGGAGAGGAGCTCTCTTCCACTCACCCCATTTTTCAAGTGAGGAGCCTGGACATCATCCCTACCTTCTCCTTCCTCTCCCTCTCTTCTCAGATCTAATTGGTCACCTAGACTAGTTGATTCAGCCTCCTAAAGGCATCTTTTTACAGTCTGCCCCCTTTTCTCCACCTCTACTGGCACAGCCTAGATCAGGCCACCAGCATCTCCTGACTCTGTACCCTATCTGCCTACCTCTCTTCCCCACACTGCAGCCAGGGCCACTGTTCTAAAACGCAGATCGCATCAACGCTCTTCCTGCCTTCAATGTCTTTCCATTACTTGAAATATAAAGTCCAAATTCCTTTACATTCCTACAGGGACCAGCGTAAGCTGCTCTCTCCTTCTCTTTACAGCCCCATCACTTACCACTAACTCCCTTTCACTCTACCACGTGAAACTTGAACTTCTTTCAGTTCTTCAAATCCATTCTATTGCCTCCAAGCTTCCGTGGCTCCATCTTTTTAGAAGCATCTTTTTTCTTCTTCCTTCCACTACTTCAGTACAAATGCTTCAAGCCTCAACTTAAAATTTTCTTTCTCAAGACACTTTATTGGATCCTTTAAGGCCAGCTGGAGCCACAGTGGCACAGTGATTAAGAGTTCAGCTGCTAACCAAAGGATCAGCAGTTCCAATCCACCAGCTGCTCCTTGCAAATCCTATAGGGCAGTTCTACCCTGTCCTATAGGGTTGCTGTGAGTTGGAATCAACTTGACGGCAATGGGTTTGGTTTTGGTTAAGTCCAGTTAGTCATTCCTACTATGCATTCCCATATCACCATACACCCATGCCATACATCACCCACACCACAGTGCTTTTCATGTTGAATGATAACAATAACAATACCTAACACTTTTATTCTGCTTACCACATGCCAGGCCCCCTTCCAAGTTCCTTACGATTAGTAAGTAGTTTAGTCTCTAAAACAGTTCTTTGAGATCAGAAAAAAAAAAAAAACAAACCAGTTGCCGTCGATTTGATTCCAACTCATGGCAACCCCATGTGTGTCAGAGTAGAACTGCTGCATAGGGTTTTCACGGCTGCGACTTTCAGAAGCAGATCACCAGAACTTTTTTTTGAGGCGCCATTGGGTGGGTTTGAACCGCCAACCTTTTGGTTAGTAGCTGAGCACTTAACCATTTGTGCCACTCAGTGACTCCTTTATGAGATTTAAAAAAAAAAATAGTTGCCATTGAGTCGATTCTGACTCATAGTGACCCTATAGGACAGAGTAGAACTGCCTCATATGGTTTCCAAGGAGCACCTGGTGGATTTGAACTGCTGACCTTTTGGTTAGCATCGGTAGCTCTTAACCACTATGCCACCAATAGATACTATTATTATTCCCATTTCATAGAACACGAAACTGAGGTATGGAGAGATTATATAATTTGCCCAAGTTTACCCAGCTAAACACTGAGGGAGCAGAGCTTTGAACCTAGACAGACGGGCACTGGAGTCTGCTCCCAAACATTTTGCAATTATGCGTCTTCAGAAATTGTTTACTTGTTCATTTCCTCGCTAGACTGTACGCTTGCTGAGGGCAGGGGCCATATCTTGTCTATTGCTATATCTCTAGGATCTTGCACAGTACATAGTAAGTGCTCAATAAATATTTGTTGTTTGGATGGAAGAATAAAAAGAGCTTTGCATTTGGAGAAAGAAAAAGCACTTTGCAGTCCCATTTACATTATGTGAGCTCTTAGATTTTATTTAAAGATTAAGTCTAGTGTAGATGGTTAAGCACATGAGCACTGGGGTTACGCTGTCAGGTCCTGTTCCCAGTTCTGCGCTTGCTAGCTGTGTGATATTGGGCAGGTTTCCTAATCTCAGTTTTCTCATCTGTAAAACAAGATAAAATAGTATCCACCTCATAAAATGGTTGTAAGTATAAAATGAGGTAATAAATGCAACACAGTGACACAGAGAAAGTATCCAATAAATATGCACCACTGCAAGTAACAATGCAGTATAACTCTTTCTTCTGATTCAGAGCATGAGAAAAGAACTATCACTATCCCCAAATATAAATTAATTTAAAATTTGCACGTGTTTTATAAAATTGTAAAACTGGTCTTCCAGCCTGTCACTTGAGAGCGTCTTCAGAGTTCCTGATGGGTGTGTGGGCTTCTGTAAAATGTGATTAAAGCACCAGAGAGCACCGTTCTAAAATACCACTGAATTAAACCCTGAAGGGTAATGCTGGCTATCTGGGCTGCAATAACACATGGAGCCCTGGGGGTGAAGTGGTTAAGAACTCGGCTGCTAACCAAAAGATTGGAAGTTTGAAGCCACCATTTGTTCCTTGGAAACCCTTTGGGGCAGTTCTACTCTGTCCTATAGGGTCGCTATAAATCGGAATTGACTCAATGGCAACAGGTTTGGTATTTAACACATTGATTTTCTACCTGCCTCTTCGAGCCCACCGTCTTCACTGCATCAGCCACACTGCTACGTGTTATGTATGGCAAAGCTATGAATGCATCTATTAAATGCAGTTTGAAAAATTACATCTGAGCTTAAGAAGAGGTAGCCATTGTTTTCAGCCAATCAACTAGCAAATGTTTTGTGTTTTTTTTTAGAATAATTGAGCATAAGAATAGCAAGGCAGTTATTCTGACAGTCTTTAAAAGTGCCGTTGAAAGTCTGCCATCCAAACCAAACTGAAGTCATCCATTTAAATACTTGATGTTTCCCAAGGACAGTCTACTTGAATTGCAATCCGTCACCAAAGGCTGTCAGCCCTGGTGGCATCCCTGCTGTCTTTTTACAGCAAATATTTCAATAATAATGTCTAGTTGAGACATCCTAAGTGGAACTGTCATGAAGCAGCACATCAGCTATGCAATGAAGTGCAGGCTCAAAGTCCTATAAATTAAAAATTACTTCAGTGATTTAGCATTTCCTTTATTTCCCATACTTGAGTACTGGTCCTTCTTCTGATAAGTAGCGTTGGACTTTAAGTTTTTGTCCTAGGAGACAACCCATCAGAAATTCCTTCCATCCATCCCAGACGTCCAAGCGAAGTGTTGTGCCTATGGATCAAGAGAAGTTCCAGTCCATCACTGTGGTTTGGCAATCCATAAAGCTTCTAATGATAGCTTTCCCCAAACAGAGGAGTGAGCTAGATGGAAAATAAAAAGGAACCTTGGAAGGAGTAGACAGGGTTGCTATTTTTAGCTGAGGCATTTGTCTTGAAAAAACCATTTAGCTTTCATGCACTTCCATTTTCTCATCTGCAGGATGATTACATATAATACTGAAATATTTTTGCAGCTGTCTTAAAACAGTCCTGTGGTCATTGATTCAGTGCTGAAATATAAATGACTAGGCAAACTGAAGCCGACATGTTGGAAGAGAAAACTAAGTTTAGTGGCAGGACAAATGGCCTTCTTGGGCCTTTTGGTTACTAGCGGGCTCTGGGTGGAGTTGAATGATGCTCACTAGCTATCCTCTGGTTCTATACTTCATGAAATAGCAGTCTTTCTGTATTATAAGCACAGAAGTAATTCAGTGATGCTGGAGAATTCATCATATGCTCCTCAAAATTCTATCCTCTCTCACCCTTACTTAAGATCCTGGTGAAGGACCAGATGGTATCTGGTGGAAAACCAGCACCATGAGTTTAAAGAGTCTGCCATGGCCACCATCTAGGAGCCCCACTTACTCCAGGTATTAATCATTGGTGTTATCTCCAATCTCGAACCAAAAGGAGGAAGTGATTTAAGAGATAAAATTGGAGCCACTATTCCATGTCCTTGAGCATAAAGAATGTGACCTGGACTCACGGGGACTTCCAAGGACACATCAACTGGGCCCTGAGGTATAAAGACAGCAAGTAGGACAATCTTGGAAAACATCTTTCAGGGAACCTTGCACATAAACAAATCAAACAGAGCACAAAAGACCCAAACGTTGTCCACTCTTACCTTTTTCTATAAGCATTTAATGAAGAGTAAGATTTGTTGAACCACTGAAGACCCTCCTGACAGTTGTTACTGGAACCTGGACCAATGATTTTTAAGAAAGACAATTCGAAATGTAGAATCATGGTGATTTGGTAGTTTTTAGCCAGTCTGTGTGTGAAAAGGTGAAGCTTTCAATGATTTTACCCGTTCGTGATGTTAACATGCACTGATGATTCTGTAATGTCCCCAGACGCGGGCAGACGTGGCTCTGGCAGCACGCTTGTCCGTTTTCCACTTTTGCCTTTTGGAACATATGCTGAATAAAACCTTTCTTTTTGTTTTACAAAAAAAAAAATTCTATCCCTTCCTGCTTCTGTGACACCACATTCCTTCTGTCCTTCAGGCTGGTGTTTTCCAGGAATCTCCTCAACCTTCTGCTCTTCTCACTCTACACAACACCCTGGAAAAAAAATCTGAACTCTTCCATGTGGCCTCCAAGGCCTTCCCTTCTACCTCACTCACCTCCCTCTACTCTCCCTCAACTCTCTTTGCTCCAGCCACCCTGACTTTTCACCTGTCCAGCAAACATACCAAGATCACACCCACCTCAAGATCTAAAGACTGAACATATCTTCTGCCTGAAAGGGTCTTCCTCTAGATTTTTACCAGCTGTGTGCTTCTCAAGGGGCCGTGGTGGTTCAGTGGTAGAATTCTCACCTTGTGTGCAGGAGATCTGCGTCTGATTCCCAGGTTTGATTCCTGGCCAGTGCACCTCAAGAGCAGCCACCACCCATCTGTGGTGGAGGCTTGCGTGTCACTATGATGCTGAACAGGTTTCAGTGGAGCTTCCAGACTAAGACATACTAGAAAGCAAGGCCTGGCAGTCTACTTCCGAAAATCAGCCAATGAAAACCCTACGGATCACAACAGTCCAATCTCGTTTTGCCTGGGATCACTATGAGTTGGGGCCGACGTGAAGGCAGCTAACAACAATAACATGTCCTTCTCATCATTCAGCTCTCAATTCAAATGCCGTGTCCTCACCAAAGACCACCTCTTGGCCACCATGGCTAAAGCAATCTCTACCACCACCACCACCCCCTCGATTACTCTTAATCCCAAGACCCCATTTTAACTCCTATATAGCCTCTATCACCAGTACTGAAAATTATTTGACTTGTTTGGGAATTTTTTTTTTTATTCCTCCACTAAAAGGAGTCTTTTAGGCCTTGGCTAAGAGTCTAGCACTTGGTAGTGCTCAATACATACTTGTTGGCTGGCTAATGGCAACCTCAGTGATGCTAATGACTTCATTCACCACCAACGTGTCACTCACTTCCAAATCTAAATCTCTGGCCCAGTCCTCTCTTCCAGCTCAACTCCCCTTGCTGGGGATACTAACATCTGAGTGATTGCACTACCACCCCCTCATTCTACAAAAGAACTGGTCATCTTTAACCCCCCACCTGCTTTTCCTCCTTCATTCTGTGTCTCAGTGGGCTGCACCTCTAACTTTCTTGCTACCTAAGCTAGACATGTGGGAGTGGTTCTTCACCCCTCCGCTTTCTTCCTGCCCTACATCTAAACAATCGCTGAGGCCTGGCAAGCTTACCTCATAAACGTTTAGAAACTCTGTTTCCTTGTCTCCATCTCAGTCAGCATGGCCCTATTTCAGACCTAGATAATCTCTCGCCTAGATCTATTGCAAGAAGCTTCCGACAGCCACTCCCTCTCTTTATACAGATCTCTCTCTCTTCAAATGTCGTCTCCTTCCTGACTAACCATCTAAAGTAGACTTCTCCTCACCCCCAACCACATCACTTCCTATTCCAGTCTCCTGCTTTCCTCTTCTTCATAGTTCTTATTCCATTTGAAATAACATATTTTACATATTTTCTTCTAGAAATTTAGAACTTGATGGTGTTTGTGTCCCCCACTGAACTGCAAGCTCCGAGAAGGTAGGGACCTTGCCACTCTCATGCATGGCTCTACTCCTGCTTGCTGGAACAGAGCCTAGCTCATGGCGAATGTTCAGTAAATATTTGTTGGATGAAGCTCTGTCTCACTCCTCAAATGCATTCTAGTCAAGCACTGCCCACCCAACCACTCAGCTGCCCCGCTGGCTGACCTGCTCTTCTATGTGGACACCAGACTTTTTCTTGCTTGGTGCCCGTTCTGTCTGAATGCTTCTGACTCCTTCCCCACAGCCTCCTACCAACCGTTTATGATGTAACTCTAGCATTACCTCCTCCAAGAGGCCTTTCTTGGCTACACACTCCTCTCAACCCACCAGATAGGCTAATGAACTGCTTCTTTAGACTCCCACAATATACACTGAAACTCTTCCTCATTGAACATACATTACTGCTTTGGAACTGCTGGTTTACAAACCCTTTTTGAACCCAAGAATCGTGGCTTAGCCATTCTTGTAGGCCCTGTTTTAGTTATGTCCTTGGTTTGCAAGGAGACCCTCAAGAAAATGGGGTTTATTATACAGACAGGCAATGATTCGACCTGGTGTTTGTTAGGAACCACGGCTCCTCTTATATGGGCCATTCCCTAGCTCACGCATGGGCCCCAGGGTCTCTCTCTCATGCCTTCTGCATCTCTTTGCGTGTCTTCTCCTCTCTCAACTGACAGGCCACGTCTCCTTATAGTTTCTCTCCTATTGCAACTTCGGCATGCATGTAACATTGGTTTGCCATGGCCTGACCATACAGTCGTTAAGCATTTGGCTGCTAACCAAAAAGCTGGCAGTTCAAATCCACCAGCTGCTCCTTGGAACCCCTATGGGGGCAGTTCTACTCTGTCCTATAGGGTTGCTATGAGTTGGAATCCACTCGATGGCAAGGGGTTTGGTTTGGTTTTGGTAATCCTACTTCATGACACCTTTCAGTTTCTGCCCCTACTGCTAACCAACTTCATTGCTCTGTATTTCCCAGTTTGAATTCACAAGACTGATAATTCATAACTGTCATGGTTTGAATTATGTCCCCCAAAAAATGTGTGTATCATTTTGGCTAGGCCATGATTCCTGGTACTCTGTGATTTTCCTGTATGTTGTAAACCTGCCTCTATGATGTTAAGGAGGGAGGATGGGTAGCAGTTGTGTTAGTAAGGCAGGACCTGATCTACAAGACTGGGTTGTGTCCTGAGGCAATCTCTTGAGATATAAAATACAGAAGTGAGCAGTGAGACGGGGAGACCTCATACCACCAAGAAAGCAGTGCCAGGAGCAGAGCGTGTCCTTTGGACCGGGGTGCCTGCACAGAGAAGCTCCTAGTCTGGGGGAACACTGATGAGAAGGCCAAGAGAGAAGAAAGCCTTCCCCTGGAGCTGACACCTTGAATTTGGACTATCAGCCTACTTTACTGTAAGGAAACAAACTTCTCTTCTTTAAAACCATCCACTTATAGTATTTCTGTTATGGCAGCACTAGACGACTAAGACAATAACAACAGGAGCTAACATTCACCGAGTGCTCACTCTATGCTCTGCACTGTTCTAAGTACTTTACATGAGTAAAGTCATTTAAAATTCACCACAACTCTAGGTGATGGGTAGTACTATTATTATTCCCATTTGACTGCTGAGGAAACTAAGGCACCAAGCAACTAAGGAACTTGGCCAGGGTTTACATAGCTGGTAAGTAATGGAACCAGGGATTGGACCTAGGCAATTTAGTTTCTGTTTTTATGCTCTATGTTATACTCCCTCTCCAAACTAGAATCTGTGATGACTGCGGTCACTGGACAGCCTGATTGACTGCCTTCGAATCAAAATATGATGGCCTTAGTAGCGGGAGCTGGAATGTGTGTATGACTTCGCTTATCCATATGTATCCTCTGGTTCAGACACAGAGTAAGTTCATAATAAATATTTGTTATGGAAGGAAGAAAGGGAGCAAGAGAAGGGGAAGAAAGATAGGGAGAGAGGAAGAAAGGGAGGCAGGGAGGAAAAGAGGAAGGACTCAGTAGTTCTTTGGAGCCATACAAAGCTTGTAAGCCATGCTTGTCTTTGTTAGCTGGGATTTTGCAACACCGGTAGGCTTAGAATCACAGAATGCTGAAGATTCAAAAGGTCCTCAAAGACCAGCCCATTCAGCTGTCCTGTTATACAGAAGAGGT